CTCGAGCTGCCTGAGCAAAGGGACGTGCCAAGGAGACGCGCTACGGAACGTGCCGATGGACGTGCCACGGGACGTGCCAGGGGACGCACTGCGCGACGTGCCAGGGGGACTCGCCACGGGACACTCCGCGGAACGGGCCAGGCAACATGCCAGGCTGCAATGCTAAGGGTATCGATCTTGACGTACTGTGCCGAGGGCTGTGCTGTGCCTGTGCGACCAGGACACGTGAAAACAAGCGCATCTCTCGAGACATTCTCAACACATCCTCATGCTAAGCATCCGCCTGAGCACCCTGGACACGTGCAAACAAGCATCCCGAACGAGACTTCCTCAACACATCCTCATGCTAGATATCCGCCTGGGCGACGAGGACGCGTGAAACCAAGCGTCTCGCTCGAGACATCCTCGACAAATCCTTGCGCTAGACCTGTGCCTGGGCAACCTGGAGGCGTGAAACCAAGCGTCTCGCTTAAGACATCCTCAAGACCTGGGCACGTGAATATAAGCATGTCATTTGAGAGATCCTCTGCATTCCGGTCCCCAGAAGACGACAATGTATAACACAAAACAAGCGTTTCGCTCGAGACATCCTCAAACAATTCTGAAAACAAACGTTTCGCTCGAGACATCCTCAAACATAATCCCGCTGGCCCTAGGCGACCTCGGTACTTATCGCAAACAATTCCGCCGGCCCTACAGCTTTCGAAACCGGGGGTAAACCAACTAAAAGAGAACCCTGGGCCCACGCCCTTTCCTGAAAAAACATGATCGACCCACGAACCCGGAAAGGAATATAGAAATGTAAGGCATTGCAACATTTCAAAGACACCTGATTGGGCGACGGGCACATGCAATGCTGAATGTATCGATGATGATGTACTGTGCCGAGGGCTGTGCTGTGCTACGCCGTGCTGAACTGCGATGTGCCATGCCGCGATTGTGCTCTATATAGCGTTGGGGATCGAGTCCTCCCTGGCATCGGAGTCCTCACCAAACTGATCTGGAGCGTAAGCTCGAGCTGCCTGAGCAGATGGTAGCTGCCCCAGAACTAATCGACAGAGGGAACATGCCAGGAGGACGCGCCGAGGAACGTCCCAAGGGACGCGCCAGGCGACGTGCCAAGGGACGTGCCATGGGCACGCACCGCGGGACGTGCCAAGGGGACGCGCTACGGAACGTGCCAGTGGACGTGCCGAGGGACGTGCCAGGGGACGCTCCGCGCGACGTGCCAGGTGGACTCGCCAAGGAACGCGCCAAGGAACGTGCCAAGGTGCATAGTTGAGTGTATCGATCTTGATGTACCGTGCCGACGGCTGTGCTGTGCTGGGCCGTGCTGAACTGCGATGTGCCATGCCGCGATTGTGCTCTGTATAGCGTTGTGGATCGAGTCCTCCCTGGCATCCGAGTCCTCACCGAACTGATCTGGATCGTAAGCTCGAGCTGCCTGAGCAGATGGTAGCTGCCCCAGAACTAATCGACAGAGGGAACATGCCAAGAGGACGCGCCGCGGAACGTCCCAAGGGACGCGCCAGGCGACGTGCCAGGGGACGTGCCATGGGCACGCACCGCGGGACGTGCCAAGGGGACGCGCTACGGAACGTGCCAATGGACGTGCACCGCGCGACGTGCCAGGGGGACTCGCCACGGGACGCTCCGCGGAACGTGCCAGGCAACATGCCAGGCTGCAATGCTCAGGGTATCGATATTGATGTACCGTGCCGAGGGCTGTGCTGTGCCTGGGCGACCTGGACACGTGAAAACACGCGTTTCGCTCAAGACGTTGTCAGCATATCCTCATGCTAGACACAACCTGGACACGTGCAAACAATCGAGACATCCTCAACAAATCCTCATGCTAGACATCCGCCTGGGCGCCTGGCGACCTGGACACGTGAAAACAAGCCTCTGGTTCGAGACATCCTCAACAAATCCTCATGCTAGACATCTGTCTGGGCCACCTGGAGGCGTGAAACCAGGCGTCTCGCTCGAGACATCCTCAAGACCTGGGCACGTGAAAACAAGCAATCCACTTGAGAAATCCTCAGAATTCAGGTCCCCAGGAGAGGACACTCTATAGCACAAAACAAGCGTTTCGCTTGAGACATCCTCAACAAATTCTAAAAAACAAGCGTTTCGCTAGGGACATCCTCAATGTTTAATTCACCGGCCCTACGCGACCTCGTTATTTATCGCAAAAGAAATTCGCTGGCCCTACAGCCGTCAAAACCGGGGGGAAACCAACTAAAAGAGAACCCTGGGCTCAGGCCCTTTCCGGGAAAAACTGCACAGGGCGATCTCCAGCGGCCTGAATAAGGAAAAACGTGGACGGGGGCCCGCTGCAGGAGCCTCTCTTCGAGCCCTGCTGTTCGCAGCTCGAGGGGGGAGCACCCCCGGCCTCCCCCGGGGGCGAAGAGGACCCGCCCCAATCGAAGCGTGAGAAGACGACGAAACGGCCACTCTCGACGACACGACAGGGGGAAGGAGAGGAGGAGGAGGAAGAGGAGGAGGAGGAGGAGGAAGAGGCGGAGGAGGAGGAGGAGGAGGAGGAGGAGGGCAAGGAGGAAGGCAAGGAGGAGGGCAAGGAGGAGGAGGATGCAATCGGGTTCTATGGGCCAGAACGGATCGCGACGGCCTATGCTTTCGCGCCGTGGGAGATTCGGGCCCCCTCGGGACGACCCCGAGCCGAGCCAAAACCTCCAGGGAGCCCCTAAAGGGGCTGGTTGGTGGTGGGGTGTAACCCATTCTATTATCGATTCAGCCTACCCCCGTTCACCCGTTGGGCCCCAGGGCGACATGGGGCGAAAAGGCCCGTCCACTTCTCTCCAGTGGCGTACCTGGCACACCTGCGGCAGAAAATGTGGGTCTGGCGGTTCACGAGTTTGTGTCCCGCCTTCTGTGCTCTATCGACCCTGACTCCCCCCCAGTCCAGAGCGGCCCGAGACGGGAGAGTGGCAGCCAGGGGCGAGGCAGGGGGATCGGGGGCCTCCACGGCCCCCCCCCCTTCGCTCACGACCGCCCCTGGGTCCCTGGAAGTGCCCAGAGGGTTCGAAGGGGGGTCGGGGGGGGGGGGGGGTCGGGAGGGGGGGGGTCGAACCCGTCGGACTCGATCCCAGCTCAGTGTCGATAGTATCTCTGCCTAGGACTCCTATACGAGCTCCGAATTCCAGGATATCACGAACTAACTGATAGTTCTGTGCGTATGTTTCACGGTACCAGGCGGGGTGGGTATGATACAAGGCCCCCTGCTTTGCATATATGTCAGCTAACTTGTTTCCTTCCCACCTCGCTCGCCCGACCGCATCGCGCTCTGACCGCGACGCGTGGGCTCTCACTTTGCACGCCAGGAGCGCGCACTGGCTCAGGCCGCCGTTCTCGGCGATGGCCTGGAAGATCCGTTCCCAGATGTCCAGGTGCGGGCGGCTCCTCTTGTTGAGCCACGGCGGTCCAGCCTGCATTCCGTCCGCGACGTTCTGGCAGTCTGTGTGAATTCTCATTGGCGGTACGCCCACCGCCAGCGCCTGCAGCACTGCGTAGAGCTCCGCCCGCAGGATACTCCGTGCCCACTGCGCTCCTGGAAGCGGCCCGTAGCACACAGACTCCATCACGTGCTCGTCGTTGTCTTTGAGCTTGGTGAAGCTCCATCCCCCTCGTCGCAGCGCTGGGTAGTCCCCGTACTACAACGAGCCGTCTACGTAGATGTCCCCCGTCGCCCGGCCGTCCCAGTTGCCCTCGGTGAGCCGGTCGTCGCACGACACCAGGTCCCAAAGCCTGAGCTCGACGGCGGGGTCCGCCATGATGCCTCGCCCCCATAGCCATTCCGCTCCTGGGCCTGGCCATGGGTAAGCACCTCGCTGCGGTATGTGTAGGCCTCCGATCACACTGCGGTGCTGCTGGCGCGCAAGGCACACGAACGTGCGATGTCGGTCAGTGCCGTGCCCCCGCCCGCGCGCTCTGCATGCGCTGTCTGGCGTCACTCCCTTAGCGTGCAGCCTCGCCTGCGGCCATGTGCCCCCGCAGAAGAGGCCTCGGACCCGCGCGCGATGTGCCCGCGTCAATCGCCCCTTGAGGGGCCTTCGTAGTAGTGCCTGCGCTGGCTCGACGAAGATGGAGGTGATGCCGTACTGTTGGCCGTACTGCTCCACCCACCCGTCCTTCAGCTGCTGCCCCCTTGTGGAGATGACGTGGTGCTGGATCTCCTGCAGCATGGTGAAGCGCAGGTCGAACACTGTGCCGTCGATTGTGACTGAGTGCGCGGCCTGCGTCATCCAGCCGAGTCGCTTCGCCGTCGCCACGAACGCTCCCGATGGTCCCCGAACTGTGGGCCAGGGGGCCTTGCACTTGTAGATCTTCAACACCCAGGTGCGCCATGCGCTGTGGAGCCGCTCGGCCAGCTCCGCGTCGTCTAGCGCTTCCTGCCACGCCGTGGCCCAGGCAATGATGGGGCCGCTGTTGACCAGGTTGCCTGGGTCGGTCTTGTCGTTGAGGAGGGTGAGTGCAGTGGACCTGCCCTTGGTGCTGCCCTCCATCGCGTCGCCACGTTCTTCTTAACTCATTGAGCTTGGAGTCCGCCATGCCGACGATGCTTGAGCCGTAGAGGAGCGCTGGCACCTTGGCTTGCCTGATCAGCTTGTGTGCCGCCCCATCCTGCTCTCCGCACGGCTGCCACCCGTGCCTTCCTCGCTGCACACTTGAGCGCCCGCTTGTTGATCGCGGCCACTCTCCTGCCTCTGCATGCCGTGCCTGTGACTCCCAGGTGCTTCCCGTGCTTCGCTACCCTCGCGCCGAGATGCCTGGTGTACGCGCTGATGTGCTTGCCCAGCGCGGTGGAGGATGCCAGGGTGACCGTCTTCCCCTTCCGCGCCCCTCGAGACTGCCATATCTAGCTTCACCTCGAACATGTGTACCGCGGCCGCCACGAGCTGCGGGTGGAAGTGGTGGACGAACTCGCTGATGCCGTGCGTGGCCATGGCGAGGTCGTCGAAGAACAAACACGTGTCCGCCTACGGGAACTGGTACACGAGCTCGTCAAGCTCCAGGATGATCACCATCTTGAAGCAAAAGGGCGCATACCTGCTGCCCGCGACGATGCCGCGCTGCCACGCCCTGTCTTCGGTGTAGCACCCGTCCAGGACGATGCACCGCACCATGCCGTATATCTTGAGTAGAGTGCGCATGATGACTGGGTTGAACCCCCAGCGCTGCGACGCCTCCGATACCTTGTGATGTGTGACCCACTCGAAGCACTTGACTAGGTCGAAGTAGGTCACAGCATACTCGTGTCCTTCGGCGCGCGCCGCCTCCCCGTAGAGGGCCTGCAGCCACGCCGCGCGCTCCGATGATCTCCCGCCCCGAGCCCAGTCGTAGGCTCTCTGGTTGGCCGCCTCCCAGCGCCTGGCGTACGGCATGCGGATGGTCTCCCACTCGCGCGCCAGCTCGGGAATGAGGCCCAGGTTGCGGAAGCCTCCTGCTGCCTTCGGGGTCAGGTAGAAGAGGATGGTGGCCGGTGTGGTAGGCCACGGCGCCCCCCGCTCCACCGCGCTAAGCACGCCTGCCACGCGCGCCGCTTCCTGGAACCCACCATGGCGCCAGAGGCGCGGGTGCCAGTCCGCTTCTCCAAGGCCAGTCTTGGTGCGGAAGCGCCCGCGCGCCTCGATGACGTCCCGCGGTGTGATTCGTGGGTCTGCGTGCTCTCTCCATTCGTCGTCGCTGGGGGGCTGGCGCCACGGTTCGCTGTCGTCGTAGCTATCCGCCCATACCGTCTCCCAGCCCTCCAGCGCTGCGTCTGCTGCCACGCGCGGGTGCGTGGCGCGAGCTCCTGCTGGCTGTAGATCTCGGTCGGCTTGATGGGCTCCCATGGCACTGGCGGCATGGTCCACTCGTGTATCGCACCAGCCCCCGCCTGGCTGTGCTTGGCCACCCATCGCCTCCAACCTCTTGCTGCTTTGCGTCGCGCTCGCCTCCACGTGTGCTGGCTTGCGACCGTCATGAGCTTGGCCGCGCACTCCACGTATAGCAAGCCCCGCTCGGATGTTCGTCGCGTCGATCCAGGCGATGGCGTTGGCAAACTTGCCCCAATCGATTTCCGTCCAGTGCCCCCGCCCCGTCGGTAGGCGGCGCTCTCCTGCCGGCTCCGCCCCGACCAACGGGCAGTCCTGCAAGGCCCCAGGGCCGAGGACAGCGGGGTGCCGAGGAGTAAGCTCTGGGAGACTCAGCCAGTCCTCCTCGACTCGGCGCGCTGCTTCGTTGATCTCGCCCAGGTCGTCGGCATTGTCCTCGGTGCCGACGCTGTAGTGCTCGCCCTCCGTGTCGGTGTCGACGTCGCCGTATATGCTGCCCCTCCGCGGCGCCCTCCTGGTCGGCCTCGCCGCTCCATGCTGGGTGGCGCCGCTCGAGAAGCGGCTCGATGATGTCCCTCTCGAGGATGCCCTTGGCGTTGCATTGCGCCCAGCTCGGCGTCTCCTGCTTGCCGTTGCGCCTCCATGCTCTCACCGCGGTGCAGATGAGCTCGAGTCTGCGCCCTAGCCATTCTGCTGCCTACGCGCACTGCTGCTCTCGCGCTGCCTCATGCATTGTAGGTGGCTTCATCTGCCCCCATGCGTAGGCGGGGCCTGCATGTGCCCCTTGCGCTCATGCCACTTCAGGCCGTCGTCGTTGAAGTACCTGTCGAGATGCTCCTCGTACGTGTTGGCCAGGTCGCTCCAGTATATGTCCACCTCCTCCTGGCTGTGCCTCTCGCGCCCCAGGAGACGTGGCCACGCCGTCGGCCCTGCTGCACAGCCCGTGGGCAGCTGAAGAGGCCAACGTCGTCGATGCCGCAATGCCCGTACCCGCCGTCGTTGTTCCCGAATGCACGGTAAACGTAGTAGCAAAGGGGAGTGCGGCGCTGTGTTGAACTGGTCCTGCACGGCTACCGGCAGCGTGGCGTCCAGGAGCGTCTTCGAGATGATGAAATAGTCGCGGTGCCTCGCCTCGCCCGATGAGACGCACGATCCGCGTGAAGTGTCGAGCACGGTGGTCCCTTCCATCCTGTTGATCACTCCTGTCTGCTGCAGCTCGGCTGGGTCCATGTTGAAGTCTCCGCCCAGGATCCAGTGCTTCCCCGCCGCCATAGCGGCCGTGTTGAAGCTCCGCAGGATGGCCCTGTTGCGGTCTGTCATGCCCTCACTGACCCTTAGGTAGGCGGTGCCGATGGTGATGCCCTGCTTGCCGAGTGCGTCGACCCAGCCGATGGCGAGGCGCTCTTTGGACTCGCGGGGGGAGATGTCCCACGTGTCGAGGCCCCTGGCGTAGCTCATGTTGTTCGGACGGACGGTCGCCAGGAGCGCCCCCGCGCTCCAGCCCCCGCTCGCCGTGCGGACGCTAGGCGCAATGCCCAGCCTCCACCCTTCTTTCTGCATGCGTTGTTTGAAGCAGGAGATGCTGTGCTCGTAGGCCTGCAGCTCCTGCGCCATGATGGTAGGGAACTTGTTGGTGTACCTGATCGAGCGCATGGTGCGCTTCAGCGTGCCGGTGGAGTTCGCATTGACGGTGATGAACCCCTGCCCGCCTTCCTCGTCAGGAAGACGCTGGTGGGGCTGTCCATGTGCTCTTGCAGATGTTGAGCGTGGTGCTCAGCTGCATGCCAGCAAGCAGAGGAATGAGATGAGCCGCGTGGCGCTCAATCTGCTCCCCCGTGCAGCCTGCGTCCTGCATGATCTTTGCGACGAGCTTCTCATCCGCCCCCTGGGGGAAGGATGCCAGCTCCTGCATGACTTCTTCTTCAGCTTGGCGTTTGGCTCTCTGCTTCTCTTTGGCGGCTTCTCGTGTAACTGCTGCCTCCTTCTTCTTTGCTGCTTCCGCGGCTGCGGCAGCTGCTCGCTCTTCCTCGGCGGCCTGCTACTGCTTTGCGTGGCGGAGGGCCTCGCTGAGCTTGGGGTCGGCCTCCTTGTCGCGCAAGCACTTGCTGGCCTGCTCCAGGAAGGCGACCGCTGCGCTCCAGCCTTGCCCTGGCTTTGGCACGCTGAACTCCTCGATGCGGGTGCTCTGCTTCTGTAGCTTCTCTTCTTGTCTGGCCAGGAGAGCACTGTCTTTGTCCAACTTCTCCTGGGCCTGCATGATCTCCAGCTCCTGCTTCTCCACTCGCTCCTTGGTGCGATCGCGCTGCCCTTGAGTCTTGTTCCTCTCCCGTACAAGCTTGCACTCTGAGAAACGACATGGTACATCGCTGCCTGTTTCGACAGCTGCCTGCAATTCATCAACCTCCTTGTGTAGTATCGAGATGATGCCTTGGACGTGGGGCGCCAAGTCAGGGTCCGCTGCTTGTCGGCGAAGGTCAGCCAGGTGCCCCCGCTGCTTCTTGAGCCTAGCTTTGGTGGCATCGTCGGCGTCCGTGTCGTCCTGGGTATTGGTCGTGCCGTGGTGCGTGGACTTCGCGCAGTCGTGCCCCTTCCAACACTTCCAACAGAAATCGTAGCCGTCCCCGTTCTGAGCTTTGCATCCCGTGCATGCCCAGCCTCCATTGCGCGAACTGGAGCGTGGGGCCAGAAATCGACTCGGGAGCGCAGTGCCACTCTGAAGTTGGCGCTCCTCACCACCGCCCTGCCTCTCTGCAGGCACAAAGGCAAAGGAGGAGGAGGAGGAGGAGGAGGGCAAGGAGGACAAGAGGGAAGGAGGGGAGACACGAGGAGGGACCGACGGAGGCAGGGGAGACACGAGGAGGGACCGACGGAGGCAGGGAGGGAGAGGCGGGGGCGGCCCGCGGCTCGGCGGCGGCGCGTCGAGCGAAGGCCCGGAACACCCAGAGGGGGGCCTCCTCCTCCTCCTCCACCTGCTCCTCCTCCTCCTCCTCCTCCTCCTCCTCCTCCTCCTCCTCCTCCCCCTCCACCTGCGCCTCCTCCTCCACCTGCTCCTCCTCCTCCTCCTCCTCCTCCTCCTCCTCCTCCTACTCCTCCTCCTCCTCCTCGTCCTGGGTGGGGGGGTGGGAGGGCCGAAGCAGCGCCCGAGCGAGGGGCTGGCACAAGGGGGGGACCATCGACCCACCAGCAGCGATGCACCGCCGACGGGTCGGCGAGAGGCCCCCGAGAGCGGAGCCGCACGTCCCTGGGCGGGGGTGGGCTCCTGGGCCCCCGTGGCTAGGTCGGGCGCGCCCTCCTACAGGCGGATCTTGCAAGAACCGAAGGAAGCAGAGCCAAACCAGATGCAACAAAAAAATCGAGAGAAAATCATCAAAACATGATCGACCCACGAACCCGGAAAGGAATCTAGAAACCTACGGCATGGCAACGTTTCAAAGACACCTGATTGAACGACGGGCAAGTGCAATGCTGAATGTATCGGTCTTGATGTACCGTGCCGAGGGCTGTGCTGTGCTGCGCCGTGTTGACTTGCGATGTGCCGTGCCGCGGTTGTGCTCTATAGTATTGTGGATCGGGTCCTCCTTTGCATCCGAGTCCTGACCGAACTGATCTGGATCTGAAGCTCGAGCTACCTGAGCACATAGTAGCTGCCCCACAGCTAATTGACAAGGGAACATGCCAGGAGGACGCGCCGCGGAACGTTCCAAGGGACGCGCCAGGCGACGTGCCAGGGGACGTGCCAGGGGGACGCACCGCGGGACGTGCCAAGGGGACGCGCTACGGAACGTGCCAATGGACGTGCCACCTCATGCTAGACATCCGTCTGGGCGAACTGGACACGTGGAAACAAGTGGTCCCCTCGAGACATCCTCAACACATCTTCATGCTAGACGTCCGTTCCAGGCCCCCAGGACGGCCCCAAGATGCCCGTGTTAGATACCCCCTAGGTGGCCTGGACACGTTAAAGCACCTGGTTCCTCCATGTTAAATACTCCCCTGGACGGCCTGGCCTGGACACGTAAAAACGTGGGTGCCAGCTCGGGGCAACAATGTTAGATACACCCCTGGGTGGCCTGGACACGTTAAAACACGTGTTTCAAGCTCGGGACAATCATGTTAGATACCCCCTGGGTGGCCTGAACATGTAAAAACACTTGTTTCAAGCTCGGGACAACTATAGTAGATATCTCCCTGGGTGGCCTGGACATGTAAAAACACGTGTTTCAAGCTCGGGACAACTATAGTAGATATCTCCCTGGGTGGCCTGGACAAATGAAAACACGCGGTACCAATTCGGGACAACGACGTTCGATACCACATGGGTGGCTTGGACACGTAAGACCACGTGGTTCCAGCTCGCGACAACCATGTTAGATACCCCCCTTGGGCGGCCTGAACATGTAAAAACACGTGGATCCAACTCTGGGCAACCATGTTAGATACACACCTGGGTGGCCTGGACACGCTATAAAACGTGGTCCTTGCTCGAAGCAAACATGTTAGCTACCCCCCCTGGGTGGCCTGGACACGTAAAAACGTGGGTGCCAGCTCGGGACAACCATGTTTGATGCACCCCTGAGCGGCCTGGACACGTAAAAACACGTGGTCTGTTTTTCGGGACCACCATGTTAGATACCCCCCTGGGTGGCCTGGACACGTTGCCAGCTGGGGACATCTATGTTAGATGCCCCCCTGGGTGGCCTGGACAGGTAAAAACACGTGGTTCCAGCTCGGGACGACCATGTTAGATATCCCCCTGGGTGGCCTGGACACGTTAAAACACATGGTTCCAGCTCGGGACAACCATGTTAGATACCCCCTGCGTGGCCTGGATACGCTGAATTCGCGCTCCCGCTCGAAACATCCTCGCAATGTCTTCCCTGGAGAGGCCCCCAAAGCGCCACCCCCTGTTCAGAGCAAGAAAACATTATTTTTCTGTATTAGGGTATGTGTTCAGTTGGCCCTGTTCGGCCCCCCGTGCGTTTCCTAATAATTCGGCGTTGGGCCCGACACCATGTTGGATATCCCCCTTGAGCGGCCTGGACACGTAAAAACACGTGGTTCCAGTTCGGGACAATCATGTCAGATACCCCCCTGGGTGGCCTGGACATGTAAAAACTCACGGCTCCAGCACAGGACCACCATGTTAGATACTCCCTGGGTGGCCTGGACAAATGGAAAAACAAAAAAAAAAACACGGCTCCAGCGCAGGATCACAATGTTAGATACCGCCTGGGTGGCCTGAACATGTGAAAACACGTGATTCCAGCTCGTGACCACCATGTTAGATACCCCCCTGGGTGGGCTGGACGTGAAAACACGTGATTCCAGCTCGGGACCACCATGTTAGATATCCTAGCTCGGGACCACCATGTTAGATACCTCCTGGGTGGCCTTTTTTGTTCAGTGGTCGGGTGCATTTCACTTGAGAGATCCTCTGAATTCTGGTCCCCAGGAGAGGACAATCGAGAACGAAAAACAAGCGTTTCGCTCGAGACATCCTCAACACAGTCTGGAAACACACAAGCGTTTCGCTCGAGACATCCTCAACATTTAATTCGCCGGCCCACCTCGACCTCGATATTTCTCGCATAAGAAATTCGCCAGCCCACCTCAAGTCAAAACCCGGAGTAAACAAAATAAAAGAGAACTCTGGGCCTATGCCCTTTCCGGGAAAAACAGGGGCACGATGCCCAACAGCAAATGTCCTCCAGAGTCGACACCGGCCGCTGCTGGGCAAGTTGCCTTCTGCGTAACTGCCGAGCCGCTGGGCCCCAGTGGCGCGGCTCGCCGCCGCCCGTTGCCATCCGCCTGGACCCTGCGCCGTCTCACCGATCCAACCCGGGCCCCGTGTGGACCCCCCCCGAGAGGCCATCGGCCGCCGTCCCGCAACACCGCCTCTCGACCTCGACCTCTGCAACCCCGCAGCGCCTCGCCCGGCCCGAGCGGCCCCTCGCGAGGCCAAGAGAGGGCCCATAGAGGCTCCAGAATGTGGACAGCGAAGAGCTGGGGGCACCTTGGGCCAGGGACACCTCCTGCAACCTCCGACCTATTCCTATCTCGCCATGACGCAGAAGAGGGTTCCCAGCGGAGAGAGGGTCCTAGACTTGTGGATGCCATGACAGTGGACACTCTAACAATCATATGATTTCATTGAACGAAAGATGCATTTAACATGTTTTAAACATGTTATGAGCATTGTTGAACATGTTCTTTACATGTGTAAGACATGTTTGAAACATGTTTCATTTGGCAGCATGCGTCCTCTCCATTGCTCGACTTCCGCAATCCTAAACACTGGGGCGATCCCTCTGGACCAGTACTCCACCCCGAGTCGCTTTACCGAGCCCTGGGGCCCGTGGACAACCCCCCCCCGAAGCCCGGCAGTGGGGAACCACCTCAAGGATCCCTACACCCCTGCTGCCTGGAGTTGAGAAAACTTCAAGCTACGAAAACGGGACTGCACCCCACACGTTTTCGTGCACACAGCAGCCCGGGTCCAGGTGCACGACAGTTCTACGGCAAAGTGAAGCCCCGAGAAACCGCCCAGGTCCCAGCTCAGCTTCTGGGCTTTCTTAAACGAAACCTGGAGTCCACGAAAATTAACGCGCTCTCTCAAAATCTCTGACGGGTGTGTCCTCCCAGGACCCGGCGTGCCAGAGGCCTCCCAAATTGGGTCCGAGCAGATGGGGTCGGAGGATCGCGCCGCATCGCCGATGCATCGGCGACGCCGGCGCGGAGAGCATCGGGCTCCACACCGAGCCTGCATCGGCGATGCGGCGCCATCCTCCGAGCCCAACTGGTTCGACCCGATCCAGGAGGACTCCGGTCGGGAACTGCTGCTTCGCGTGTCGCCACGGCGGCCCCGGCGGCACGCTGTGCCATGCGTGGAGGGCAAGCAATCCACCCCCGTAATCCCGACAAGAGAGGACGTTTAGTGAACGCACCCAACAAAAAGAATCGAACAGGGCATGGCTGTTTGGTAAACGCCCAAGGCCGTTTGGTAAACGCCGATTAACGGGTCCGGGTGGTTTTTCCCCCAGTGACTGCGAGCAGATGGCGCGTCGCTCAGCCCCGCGGGGCGGGAGGTCGGGACAAGCTCAACGCGTTGACGCCCGAGGGCCGGGAAGTGGGTAGCGTGCCGCACCGGAGCGCGGAGGGGCCAGGGCGGGCGTCGCGGCGTGCCAGCCAAAAGCGAGTTCCGGACTGCAGGCTTCCTTCGGGCTGATCGCCTCCTTCGGTGGCGATCCACGGGAGCCTCCCCTTTTTCCTCTCGTTTGCCGACGGTAATCGACGGCAATCGGCGCTACTCGACAGTGATCGACGCTAAATGGCTGCACCGACGCCATTCGACTCCACATCGGAGCTATCCCACTGATGAAGACGGAATCGAGACGGTATACAATCGGGGAGACGTGAGACTCGGGTACGGGGGACTCGGGTTGGCCTGACGGGGCTATGTTAAACATGATGGACCCACGAACCCGGAAAGGGATATAGACATGTGCAGCATGGTCACGTTTTCACGATATCCAACTGGGCGACACCTCACGAAACATCCCACGAGACACCCCGCGAAACATCCCAGGAGACACCTCACGAAACAACCCACGAGACACCTCACGAAACATTCCACGAGACACCCCGTGAAACATTCC